TAAGGGAAAAGGAAACATCCCACTTCGCCCTTGTGCTAGAGATGCTTATCATCTCTTTCAAGATCTATGCTTATTGACTAATTCTGAGCAACCAATGTTTCTTAGATTAAATAGCTTATCAAGGACATTTGGCTTGGATTTGATAGAGTCGGTATTGACAAATCATTCAAAACTATTTAAACCGGTAGTTACTAAATTTATATATGCTAATTGCTTTCAAAAAAAAAAAAAAAAAAGCCAACATATTTTCTTGTTAATAGCATCAAGAATTAACATTTTTGCTTCGGGAGCGTGTCTGTCCTTTAATTAATAAAAGTTTTGCTGATAAAAGCGATTTTCCAACTACCATGCGACTAATGCGAATTGTCCGTATATTACTTAAGCAATTCAGTGATATTTTGGTAACCATCTATTTTTTTTTTTTTTTTTTTTTGCATTTTATATTGCCTGCTTTATTATTCACACATGAATTCAAAGTAATAATATGGCAAACTTTGATTCTTAATATTGTTTCTATAAAAGGTGACAGAATGTGAAATATTCCTTGCTTTGTTTGTTAAAATCCTTGAGCCTGACAATATATACTGGCAGCGGGTTATTTCAATGGAAATATTTCGCGGAATTTGTTCTGATAGTGCACTTTTACGTTCAATTTACCGTTGGTATGATGGACAAGGACAATCTGCTAATGTGTTTAGAGATATGATAAATGCCTTTGGCAAATTGGCTGCAGAAAAGCCCCAATTAATTGGACATTTACATCAAGGTAGAGAAAGTATGGATATGTCAGGAATGGCTGGCGTGGTAATGGGAGGAGTTGGGCAAGTAGATTCTCCTGGACTAAGTATTGCAAACTCAGTCATGAAAATTCAATGGTATGTAAATCTCTCCTTTTTTTTTTCATTCAAGAAGATAATGACTATGCTTGCTTATTATTTTACATATATTATATCAAGTATTGATCAATTAGATAAAGCTGAACCACCACAAATACCGGAAACGTATCTTTATTATCTCGCTTTTGTATGTCTTAATTCTATTGCTGATGGCCTACACAATTTTGTCTCGTCAATTTTTGCTGGCATTATACAGAAACAGCAACACGATGAATCGCAGCAAACTTCCGCAACTCAGCAGCAATCAATATTTGGAAACACTGCATTACAACAACTCGAATCACACCCTGAATATAAAGAAGTTTTACTTGTTGCAGACATGGCAAACACAGCATGGCCTGGATTACTTGCTGCACAATCATTTTTCCTTACAGCTAATCTTGACGAAGAGTTATTTCAGGGAGTTTTACGCGCGTATCAAAATTTCACTATTGTGTGTGGTGTGCTTCGGCTTTCTACACCATGCGATGCCTTTTTGACGAGCCTATGTAAGGGAGCAGTTCCTCCTAGTATAATCGCTGCGTATGTAGCAGAAAGTAAAGCAGTTCATAGTAGTGGGAATGCTACTGGTTCCGGTTATGATAGTACTGTAATGGTCACATTATCTGATAGAAATTTATCTTGTCTCAAAATACTATTGAACATTGCGCAATACCTTGGTGGAGTCTTGGGTGATTCTTGGTATTTGGTATTGGAGACATTACAATTAGCAGATTTTATAATATTTCCTAAACATGCTCGAGGTGGATCAAGAGGTACCCGTAGAGCTGGTACACAGCATTCTGCGTCTGTTTCAACATCATCTTTATCAACGCCACAAACTGCTGGCAGTAGTTCATCATCACTTGCTCAATCTGCGTCAACTGCTCCAAAAAGACCTTATTCGGGAATCATGAATTTTTCCACCCAACATCCTGCACAATCATCTCAAACTGGGTCGTCTGTGGCTAATTCAGCCTCTCAACAAACAGCTATTGAAAATGACTTAAACATATTATTGGTACAAATAAAAAAATTATTTGATAATTGCAATCTTCTTGATGATTCAGCTATACAATATTTCACTAGCGCATTATGTAAGCTAAATGCTTACACCTATGGCATTCCTTTGGCTAGTGAAATTTCAGAAGATGGTCAAGGAATAACGTCGGTGGAAGGTAAAACGCCAAAATCCTCACCATTAAGTAATCTGCGTGGAAACGTAAGTATAATGGCTCTATCTTTGTTTTGGTTTATTACTTGACTGAAATTTTTTTTATAATATAGAAAACAGATGAGAAATCCTTTGCGATTGACAAGTTGCGTACCGTCGCACTTTCAAATATACATCGTCTTATTGCACGAGAACCTAAACTTATTTGGGATCTAATTGTATCTAATTTAATAACAACTGCAAATTATATATCTACTCCGCAACAAGTTCGTATGCAAGCTTGTGAAATATTGTCTGATATCATTATTACATCTATGAGTTACACGAGTTCAGCGCAAATAGGAAGCGATGAACGTATTCAGATGCAATTACTTACTTCACTAAGTCATTTAGTGAATGATCCAGAAAGGACATCTCGGGGTTATAGTAAAGGGTTTTATGTAGAAGTTCAAAAAATGGGATTGGAAACTTTGAATAAATTATTACAAACGTCTGGACATTCATTTGCGTTTGGATGGGGTATGATTTTTGATATGATCAAAAGTGTATGTACAATAAATGTTTCTGGTGAAATGGGGGATGATGAAGGTGATACTGCGAGTTTAGACAGTGCTGGCATAATTGATGGATCATTCGGAGTATCAAATTCTAAATCTTCTGGGCTGGTTCGTGTAGCATTCCCATCTTTGCAATTAATATGCACAGACTTCTTATCACTATTATCTCCTGAATGTTTAAAACAATGTATTAATACGCTAGGAGCGTATGGCTTACAAATGGACGATTTAAATATCAGTTTATCGGCCATTGGGCTTTTGTGGAACGTTTCAGATTTCATACAAACTAAGCGTGCGGATCTTGAAAAAACTCAGGAGAATCATGGCAAAGATGTCAATGCCATAACAAAAAATGCTGTTATTGAACAGGAGATAGAACGAATTATTAAAGGAGACTTGACATCCCATACCATGAACGCGCTTTGGATGTTATTATTGATACAACTTTCAAGAATTTGTTCTGATTCTCGACCAGAAGTTCGTAATGGAGCAAATCAAACTTTATTCCGCACCGTTGACATGAATGGTTCAGTGCTAGATATTCAAACTTGGCACACATGTATTTGGCAGGTATTGTTTCCGCTTTTGAATTCGGTCAAGCTAGTTTCAGAAAAAGTTGTGAAGGCAGCTATGCAACAACAGCAACAAAGTCCAAATTCTGAAAAACTTACATCACAAAAGGAATTTAATGGTTTTATGGTTCATCACTCGAGGAATACTGTTGACAAACAGTGGGATGAAACTAAAGTATTAATTCTAACTGGAATGTCTGGAATATTTAAAAACTTTATACCCATATTGATAAATTTAGATGATTTTAAACAAGTATGGGGATTGTTGCTTTCACATTTGCAAGATTATTGCTTACATTCTAGTAATGAGGTTGCTATTGCCGCTGTTAAATCTTTTCACACAATTATTCAATTTCCTAAAGACGAGTCTCATACTGACCAGTTAAAGAAGAGAATTTTACCACACTGGCAAACTGCATGGATTGTCTGGGAGACAATAGGATTGGGTATTATAACGATTTCAGACAGAAGAGCTCTTAATGTCGACATGGATAATGGAAATTTGTCATCTTCTGAAACATTAGAATCTCCCATCTCATCGCAATTTACCCAAGATACTCTCACCGCCTATGTTATTGCCTTTGGAGATCTTTATAATGTCATTAGTCAAGATTTTGGGATCGATGAAATAAAAAGATTTTTAAAGGTTATTTATGGTGTATTGACTTATCCGAATAGCACATCATATAGACCAGATTATGATTATCTCACTCCCTTACAGGAAGCTGTATTAAATGTTGTAGGACAAATTGATTTAAATGTATCAGGTGCACCTGCAGTAGTTTTGAGTGATTTTGCAGATTATATGACTTTGGCTTTTACAAAGCATTCCCGGATTGAGGAAGAACCCGAAAAGCTAAAGAACAAAAAAGAGCAGGCATCCACCAAGAGTGCTAAAGCAGCAAATAAAGAAAACACATTGTCTAAAAAATCATTCTCAACAGTTACTTATATTGTCTTTTCAAAGACTGCTATGCGTACAGTAAATGATTTGTTTAAAAAGTTTGTGAAAGATCAGGGTGTTTATGCAGAAGGAGTCTTTAAGAAAATAATTTGGGTTAGTTTTTAAATTGCATGTAATAAATGTCGCGGCTGATACTGGAATTTGGACCTATTTTTGATGAAATTTCAAAATTTTTGGGTGGTGTTTTTTTTTTCGGTTTTTTTTTTAGGGTCAGGTTAGGGTTTAGGGCTAGATTTGATATTTAAAGAGTATAGGTGGATTTAAGTAGGGCCTATGTTTTTAAATCGCGACCCTAAATTTCAGCATCAGCCTCGACAATAAATTAATAGCATATATTATGTACTTGTTACTATTGCTAAAATTAATGCAAATTTCTTTGTTCAAATTTTATAGGCATATGGTATTCCTATGAAAATGAAATATGATTGTCCACCGTCTGGAAAACATGTAAACGATATCGAACTTTGGAAAATCGCCACAAACGCATTTTTAGATGTTGTAAAGGAAGGTTTGATTTCATTAGAAGGTTTTGGCAAAGGTATTTATTTGTTCATTATTATTTTACTACGTCATTATTTGGATTGTTAATTCGGGTTCTTTACAGCCATTTCAGACGAATGTTTCGTAGATGTATGGAAACAACTATCTAGTGTTCTTCATGACGCACTAATAACTGTCAGGTATCTGCATTCATAAAATGAACTGCTTTTTATATGCTTATTATGATTAAACTAATTTAGTTTTCTTTTCTTATTAGAAAACCACCATCTACTATAAATTTAGAACAACAAGATGCAAATGAGGCATTTGATATGAAATTTCTTTTTAACCTTCAGACAGATGTGGTAATTCATATGGGTCACCCTCGAGTCCCACAGACCCTTATACGCGAGATTGTTGAAACACTACAAGAAGGATCACAACTATATTCCGCTGATATTGAAAGACATGCAGCAGTTAACGGGCATTCAAGTAAAACACATGTTAAACAATTAGAAAAGGTTGAGGGAGTAACAGCAATAATAGCCCCGGTGGCACGAGAACGGTTTGCATATGCTTGCCTACAATGTTTGTTCGATCTGTGTTCAGCAGAGTATGAAGGTATGTATATTATGATTAGTTTATTTTATTATGTTTTTCCGTTTATATATTTATATGCTGACTTTTGTTTCTTTATAATAGATAACATTCCTGTGCGGCAGAGGATAGCAGAAGTTGCTGCTCCAATTTTATTAGAGCGATGTGCATCAGTAATCCGAAACTATACAGCTGATCAACCCTTGTCGGGTAAATTTCCGTTCCCAAGGTCTGTTTTGTAATTTAGTCGTTGAATTATTTTATTTTATTAGTTTTTTTTCTTGGGAGTAAATTCCATGTTTAGCGGATTGGTTAATACTACACGATTTACAAACCTTTAGCCTTTCTTCCAGGGTACGACATGATGAAATATTGTTAATCTTGCAACAATTAATCAAGTTACGACTTCGAAAACATATTATACATGTTGATGAGGAAGAATCATCAGCCAGTGAGTGTTCAATGCTATTATTTATTTTATTGTTACTTAATTTTAACTATATTTGTCTCAATAATTTAGATCCTATAAAAAAGCAAATTTTATCTGGCCCAATTGCGCATTTATTTTATCTTTATCCGGTTATATGTGAGGCTATTTCTTTGCCAGACGAGAATATCGTGGTCTTATTAAAAGAATGCTTAAAAAAGGTTGGAGAGGAATTAGGTGTATATTAGCATGTATATTAAATTATAAATTATTTGTCTGGTTATTTTAGTAGACTTAGTTATTCTGTAAAAAAGGTTGGTTAGTACTATATTTGATGGTTTACGTAGCATTTATAATCAATCATTTTAAATTCATTACAGCATATTTATCGGTGATGTCTTTTCTGCTAATTCTGTAAGCTTACCGGTTATTTATTCATTTTTTTTACATAATTTAATAATTTTTTATCAACATAATATAAACTTAAATAAAGCGTGATAAATTTTTTTCTTTTAAAGCAATAAAATTATCATTTAAATTGTCTAAATCAATTGATCAAATAATAATCGTGATGACGATATTTATAGAATTAAATGCTTGAGCATACTTTTCTGTTTTTCGTATACTACCTAAAAAACCTAATGAAAAATTTTCTTTTCGATCAACCGTTAAAGTTTCAACTTTAGTTACGTTGGCTCCTCTTTTTAATGATTTTAGCAATTTAAATTTCTTTATTATCTGTCAAACATCTACCCAAACCTTTCAGTTTTAGGTCTTTTTACTGAGATTTTAAACTTAAATGAGTGAAAAATGGAATAACAGTATTTATTATACCGTAAAACGCTCTTTAAAGTACCCGGGGTATTTTACATTCTACACGTGATTTGGGGGTACAATACATGGGGGGATACTATGGTCAAAGAGAGATACTATACATTCTTCAGGGGAGGGGATACTATACATTCTTCAGGGGAAGGGATACTACACATTTTCCAGGGGTTTGTAGCGAATGGTTAAAGATGGTTAAAGAAGTTCTTTTTATACAATTGCACATGTTAACCACGCGTAATGTACTTAAAAGATGTAAAAGATTAAAATTTAATAAAAAAATTTTTTTTTTTTTTGTAAACTTGTAAACTCACTTTACATGGTTGTTAGTAGTAATAGAAGTGCTTTGAAGGCACGTACAACTAAAAAATTATGAAGGCAATGGTGTGCTCAAGAAAAATAAATGATTATTACTTATCAAGAAAAAAGTAATAAAAGTAACAAGGCAATAGGCCGAGAGTTTAATATTCAAACAAAGCAAATAAGAGACTGAAAAAGTAAAAAAACTAAGTTAATTAAAGCTTCTTCACAGCTTCTTAAGTTGCATAAGGGCAAATCACCAAAATATCCACAACCAGAAAAAGCTTTGTTTGATTGGATTACCAAACAACACAATAATCAATATACAGTTACTTGTTTACTAGTAATTACCAAAGCATCTTCATTAACTCAAACAGAATTTAAAGATCTTTCTGGAATTTACGAGTTTAAGTTTTCAAATAAATAGCTTGATGGGTTTTTAGATCGATATAATTTGTCAAATCATTGACACACTACTATCATGCAATATTTGCCTGAGGATTTGGAAGAAAAATAGCAAAACTTTCTTAGCTTTGTTTTATATCAACGAATTCAGCACGATTATCCTTTAGAATTAATGAGAAATATAGATGAAACCTTCTTATCTATTAACTTACCCAATACAACAATGATCAAAAAATGTAGAGCCAATACCATTAGTATTCATACTACTATTACAAAAAAAGTAATTTTACAGTTGTACTTAGCTATATGGCTGATAGCACCAAATTACCTCCAGTTTGTATTTTTAAACTGAAAAATATACCTTGAGAAAAATTTTCTAATGGTGTATTTGTTTATGCTAATAAAAAAGGATAGGTTAATGAGACTGAGATGCTTTGGTGGATTGAGAATATTTGAACAAAAAGATGACCTTTAAGCAATTCACGCTCTCTTTTAATTCTCGATTCTTTTCATGCTTATCTAGTTGATCTAGCTAAAAATTATTTTTCTAAAAAAAACACAATCTTGGTAGTAATTCCTGGTAGGTTGACAAAAAAATTGCAACCATTAGATGTTTCAATTAATAAAAGTTTCAAAGACAAAATATTTTTTATTTTATTAATTTTACTTTACCTTTTTTTTTTTTTTTCTTTGTATAAAATTTCTTTTAAAGGTTCGTGCACTATATAATGAATAGATGTTAGAAATTTATGAATTGACACCTGCAAAATGCATTAAGAAACTATCATATGCTAGAGTATACGATATTAAATGATCAACAAATATAAGTTATACCTATATGATAAATTAATATAATCAGATTTTTCTATAGTTGTTTCACAAACTTCTTTTTTCATTATTTATCGTTATACAGTTCTGCAGTTATATTTATATCTGTATGTATGTGAAAAAAATTAACTTGTACAAGTTTATATAGTTAACTCTCCTTCGAACCTAACTTTGGTTATAATGATAATGAACTAAAAATTATATTAGTTCAGTTAAATTTATATAGTAAATGCTCTTTACATTAGAACCAATGGTTTGTTATAAGAGTGTTGACTGTAATTGTCAGAAATACACTTACTTGTATATTATTAGCAACGTAAGTATATATTTTGAGATTTTAATCTGATATTAAAACTTTTATTAAGCAAAGACTTACCTGATTTTTTTAGTTATATTTTCAGAGTATTTAGTTCAATGATAATATTATTATATTAGCATAAATAGAAAATAAATGTTTATTGTGAATATCAAACCAAATCATATTTACTATGCTATGTAAAATAAGAATGTGTTAATTAGGAAAGTTTAATAATGAAGTGTAGAATTTTAAAAATCTTATTTTAAAGTATGTAAGTAAACATTTTTAGTTTGGAAGTTTTAAAATTCTTCTAAGTTTTTTAATTGTAGTTTGTTTGCTATCAATAGATTCATCCTCAATTATAGCTCTTTTTTGTCTATTTTTCAAATAAATATTTGATAGTTTTTCTATAATGAGTGAATTTTCAAAAGTTTTAGGTCCTGAGAGTTGCATTCTTGACTCTTGTAACCTTATAGACATATTAGGATGAGTTTTAATATTATACTTATTAAATATTTCTTCAAGATGCTGCTGATAAACAATTATGAACCAAATTTTATGTTTAATAAAATCATATACTAGTGGATAATTAGATATTTCAGTATGGGTAGATTGTGAAAAGGCTAAAAATTGGGTTTGAAAATTATTACCTTCTAATGCCTAGAATAATCCAAAAGATTCTTGTTTTTTTGCTTTCAAATCATTCACTAATTCGCCTATATATTTCTCTTGTATTTCTGTAAGATTATTTGAAAATTGAATATTTAATATAACTTTAATAACTGCAACTGCAAAATCAGAACTATAAATTTCTCCAAGTTGACATATAGAAAGAGATAAATGCGTTCATGAGTCCATCCATTTTTTAAATGCTTCTAATGCTTTTATTATTCCATTTTTAACTCTATTAGTAAGATCAACAAATTCATCTTCAGATAAAATTTCGTAGGCCAATAATAATTCTTCTACAAAAACTTCATCCAGATGTTTAATAGCCATTTGCAATTCATTAATTTACTGTTTTACATTGTCTGTCATTTCACTTGCTCTATATCTATTTGGAAGGTTTGTACTTTTGCCAATTAAAAATAAACATTATTTTTTCATAAAACTATTTACCAAAATGTGCTATAATTTGAATTTCTATATTTAATTTTTCATTTTGCAAAAAGTTATAAAATGTTTTCTATTTTTCTAAATAGCTATTAGGAACATTATTTGTCATTTCTAATTGATTAATAAACCAATCAGAAAATTGAAGGTGAATATTTCTTTGACTTAAATATTGTTTAGCTGCAGTTAATTAATATAACCAATGGGTAGAGATAGGTTTTTGATATTTTTTAAGATTATAATTCATTAATGTTTTATATAGTTCACTAATTATTTCTGTTTTCTTTTTTTTTTTTTTTTTTTTTTTTTTTTTTAAGTGAGGTCTTTTCCTCAGTTCCTTTATTATTCATTATGCTGATGTTATA